GATGAGGGCAATGAATGTACAAATGTGCTTTACACAATTGATGTATGTATGGATTGTGATAAGAGTTGTAAGAGCCCCTAATAAAATTATTAAAACAAACCAACAAACAAAAAGCTAATGTGTAGCCATTTAAGGTACAACTATGGGCCGATATCTAGAGCAAAGGAATGAGAAAAGATGCGCGGAAATGATTAGTTCAATTAACCAATGAACCACATGGACCTCAGCCTCCATTACCCTGAACCAGAAGTACTAGATGGCGGAGGCCACCTAGACCTAACTGATGCACCGAGACTGGCAGGGAGACTCAGGGCCCCAGAACAAAGGCTATAGGGTACACGCCCCTCATCTGGCCTCAGCCTATGGAACTGTGGGACAGAGTGACAGGTAAGATCCCTTCCTGGCCCATGGAGGCAAACGCCAAGGAACCACATGACTGAGGGACCGAAGACCAGAGAGAGACTTGGCTGCTGCCTGAGACCAATGACTGTATGTTTACTGTTTGCTGATCCTGACTTGTGGTAACCTATTAACTTCCCTAAGGAAACCCCCTGGTGTGAGTATTGTCTGTGAGTTCTGTGTGGCCATTACAAGGAATTATGGAACCCAGTACAGATGCAGCGTGGCATGGGAGGAATGGTTGGTATCACAACAGGTAACAAAGGATGGAGACATATCTGACTCTCGTCTCATGGCACTAGGGAAGCCAGAGGAGGTCAGATATAGCCACTTCCATTGTGGTTTATTGCACTGCCCAGCTACCACTACCAACTGCTCTGAAAGTGCTCACATGAAAAGGTCCTAGATAAAGAAGATGGGTCCAATAGGGACTGGTGTAACACCAGAGACCATGGCTTCTTAAACCTTTCAGTTCTGGAACTGAGTTCACCCCCAAGACTCAATTTTCAACCAAACAATACTCACTGCCATCAAATCCATTCTGACTCATCCCTATCTATACAGGGTTTCCAACACTACAAATCTTTCTGGGAGCAGATAGCATCATTTCCACCCCCACCCCCCAGGAGTGGATGATGGTTTTGAACCACCAACCTGGCAGTCAGCAGCCCCACACATACTGACAATACCACCACGGCTCACATTCAGGCAAACAGCAGACAGGTCTGTAAGGGGACAATCATCCTCCGGAGGTACACGCTCCTCAGAATAACCAACCATTCGAGATCAAAGGGCAGCATTTACCTGAGGGCAAAGTGTAGATGGCTTAGGAAAGAAGGAGGCAGAGAGATGGGAAAGACAGGAGGGAAATGAGAGAAGTGAATCACTTTGTGGGGACTGCAATCAGTGGCATCAGTCAAAATGTGTATGAGCTGTTGACTGGGAAACTGGTTTGTTCTGTCAACCTTCCCCCAATTCACAAGTAAAAATCTCTGCAGAGACTTGATAAGCTTTCCCATTGTGAAGTCATTCCTAAATCACTTGTTCATTATTAACCTAGCATTTGCTAGGCCCTCTGTGTAACAAAGAGGATCCCTGGGGGTGTCATGGTTATATGTTGGGCTGCTAACTACAACGTAAGCAGTTTGAAACCACCAGCTGCTGGGGGAGAAAGATGGGGTTTTCTCCTCCTGCAAAGGGTTAGTTTTGGAAACTCACAGGGACAGTTCTACCAAAGGGTCACTATGAGTCAGCATGGACTTGATGGCAGTGAACTTGGTTTGGTTTTGGTTTGGGGATAACCAAAAGAGGAGCCCTGGTGATGCAGTGGCTAAGGGTTCAGCTGCTCACCAAAACGTCAGGGGTTCAAACCTACCAGCTGCTCTGAGGGGCAAAGATGTGGCAGTCTGTTTCTATAAAGATTTCAGACTTGGAAACCCTAAGGGGCAGTTGTACACAAGTTGTGCTATGGGAGGCTATGACTTGACAGTAGTGGTTTTAGAGCTTGGGGGTAACTAGATAAGGTATATGCAGCAGTCCAGAGGCCAGAAAAGGATGCTCAGTGCCCTCCTCTGAGCCTTACAATGGGCCCCAGGTCCAGGCCTCTTGCTCCCACTGATAAGAAACAAGACTTAGTTCCCTCCTCTCTGCAGACACATTCTTTTTTTCTTTCATTTCTAAGAATTCTGCTTACTTCCTCCCCGAGTGGGCTTTGCCTCCAGTGACATCACTAGCACTGGTTTCACTCCTTGTGGAAAGTAATGTTGTCAGCTCACCCACCCCCACCCCCACCCCAAATGGGTCTCCACCTATACCAGGCCATACCAAAGAAGATTTATTATAAACTTTAATGGCAGAATAAGATGTGATAAATATTGCTGCAAATTGCATCAATAAATTTTTTCTTGGATTATATGAATACTAACAAATTTGTTTTGTAAAATCTTTCTATGTTCAATTACTGTATATCTTTATTATTTATAATAGTATTCATAAATGAGAAACTCTTAAATTTTTTTCCTTTAATTACTACACTTTAAAAAAAGTAACTGGTGTAGCTTCACAAATATTACTTACCCCAATTTTGTAGCTAAAGTACCAGGAATGTTGACAAAAATCAATAACCATAAAAACACCAACAACAGAAACAGCTTGTGCTCATAGTCCTTGCAGATGAAAGTACTTGACTCAAAGCCTCATTGTAATTGGGTAACTGACAGCTCTGAACAGAGTGCATTAAACAAATAAACAACACCAAAAAAAAGGACTGCCATGGAGTCACAGGACGGAGAACTACTCCAAAGGGTTTCCAAAGCTGTAAATCTTTACAAGAGCACAGCCTCATCTGCCTCTCGAAGAGCAGCAGTGGATTCAAATTGCCAACTTTGTGGTTAGTAGCCCAAAGCCTAATGTACGGTTAGCAGTCTAATGCTCACTGTATGATAGCCCATCAAAACTCCAACAGCTCACCAGAAGGTTCAAAAAGTTAAGTAGAGAAGTGCTTTAGTCTTGTAGGTATGTTAACACACTTTTGTTGTTATAACTAACTACAGGGACTCTTATTTAAAGTAATACATTTCTGCTGAAACATTGCACAATTTCAATGTCACCTCCCACACAGAATGGCACCCCCTGCAGTCCCCCCTAATGGTCACTTGGTCAACATTAACTTCGGTGGCAACTGATCTGTCTGGAAAGTGCACCATTCCCCAAGTCTTCTTAACTCCTCTTGCTCCAGGCTGCTGCTTCTCCAAGCCTTTTCCAATGTACAGAACTGGTCCTATCTCCTATGGACTTCTTTACCACCTTAGACCTTATCCCTTGTGTAGTGTTACATAAACTTGTATTACGTCTACTATTTGACTGTCTACCCTCATGTGTCTAAGTCCCTTCAGGGTAAACGGCTGGTGGACTGTTACATGCTAACATCCTCCCACACCCTGTACACAGTAAACCCAAACCCACTGTCATTAATCCCACGGCACTCATACAGACCCTACAGGGCATAGTAGAATTGCTCCTAGGGATTCCAAGGTTTAACTCTGGACAACAGCAGACCTCATTTTAATTTATGGGTAGGAGCAGCTGGTGAGTTTGAACCAACGGCAGTCAGTAGCCCAACTGTCATGCACTATAGCTTCTTAGTATACAGCAAGTCCCCCTTACATGAAAAGACAACGCGGGGTGTAACAAAAAAAACTAAGCTGCTGGAGTGGGTTGCCTTGAGCTTTCTTAAAATCCCAGCCTCCCAGCACCTATGTTGGCCAATATAGGACACTCCAGAAAGTCAAGGTTGAGTCCTCATATGTTCCCAGATAGAAGACATTCCATTCTGTTCTGTGCGGTGGCCTCAACACCCAGCTCTGCTTGCTACTTAGCACGAAATAACTGGGGAAGACATTCCGGAAACGCTAGCCTAATAGTCAATTCCGAAGAGCAGGGGCAGAGTGAGGCATGTTTTGGGAGATTTCAATGAAAGGCAGAACCTAGTGCTGGATTCATTCAAAGAATTTTTAAAGGAAGCGGGGAGAAAGACACGTGCATTCTCCCCTTCCCTTCAAAAGTCCCCGTAATTCAAGTCTTAACTTCCCCGGCCGTCACCTTCCTGTCTCTCGGCTGCGAATAATGTGACTCCCGAGGGCGCTGTCACGGCAACGCCTGGCATTTCCTGACCCGGGAGCAACTTTGCTGAGGATGTCTGCAGCAAAGCACCTCTCCCGGACAGGGGCAGGCCACGGGAAAGTCGCGAGGAGGGAGGTGGCTTCGCTCCTTCTGCTTCGTTATCACCAGCATTTCACTGCCGTCCGCGCTGCAGCCCCACCTGAACCCGAGGCCCGGACGGAAAACCCGGAGCGCGCAGCCCCACCCTCGG